GCAGCCCGGGCTCCAGCAGCGGCTCGGGCTCCTCCCGGGAGGACTCCGCGCCTGTGGCCACGGCGGCCGCTGCCAGGCAGGTGCAGCAGCAGCAGCAGCAGCAGCAGCAGCAGCAGCGGCGTCACCAGCAGGGGAAAGTGACGGTGAAATACGATCGCAAGGAGCTTCGGAAGCGGCTCGTGCTGGAGGAGTGGATCGTGGAGCAGCTGAGTCAGCTGTACGGCTGCGAGGTACCCGGCGCGGGGCCGGGAGGGTCGGGACCTCCGTCACCCCTCTGTGCCCGCACAGGAATTCTCGGGGGCCCTGCCGCCTGGGGACCGAGCGCCGGGATCGCGTTCTTTCTCCCTGGCGTGCCCTCAGCGCCGGGGCGCAGCGGTCGGGACGCCCCTGCCCGGGTTTAGCTGCCTGGTGTCCGGAGGGCCGTGGGCCCCCTTGGTGGCCATGGGGACGTTTGGGTCCTGAGTAGCGCGTTGCTTTTCTTCTAGACCCTGGCGCTTCTCCGCTCACCCCGGCTGCGTCTAAGCAGCGGTCGGGGAAAGGGCAGTCGGCGCAGCATTCGCTGCTGGGATCCGGGCAGTGCCGATTCTCGTGGAGAGCGAGCAGGGAAGGGACTCGAAGCTGCCTAACGGAGAGGAGAGGTTCTGGGGATCTCAGAGGCCCCTTGCCTGATGAACGCTTTCCCTTTTCCAGCCGGCCCCGACGCATGTCCCCATAATTCGTCCTTGTATTACCAAAGCTGCGCACGGTGCGCTTTGTTGAAGCAGCTTGTCCCTCTCCAAGCTCAGTAGCTCCCGTAGATGGGCGCAGAAGGAGAGCCTCAGGCGACCTCCAAGGGTGCCTAGGTGGAAGGAAGGTAGCCCTGTGGGTGGTGTGCACCTCCCAGCTCCCCACTCCGCCACCACATTGTGACTTCTCACAGTTCAGGGGCTAACAAGTCTGACTGGCCTGTATACATTTGATGTAGGGAGAAATATTTAGAATAAGGTGTAACAGACATATGCCAGAAAAACAACCGAAGCCAACATGCTCTCCCAGGAGAGTCTTTAATAAGTTATTCTAAATGAAGTATTCTGCTTCTCTTAAGGGAGTGGAGTTTAGAAAGGGTGGAAGCATGAAGGGATTAATAATTAAGGACATGGTTTCCCAGTTAAAGCTAGGTTTGTGTCCCTACAACTGTATGCTCTTCAGCATAAATGAAAGCCAGATGCACTCACTGGCTTTTTCACCGGTTTTGGGTATTCTGTATTTCACACATTGTATGGCCTATTGTGAGTACATATTTTCTTTAACATTCTCATTGCACAAGGAAATAGCATTCTCATTGCTGACTGCTGATGAATGATTATGATATAATGAAGCTTGACTGTATGACTAATAGGTTCGTAAAAATATATTGTTTCTCCAGCCAGCTCTTACAAAAAGCCAATTTAAATGCATAAATAAAAATTGGCAAAAATAGGAAGTGTTCATGGAATTTTTTATAGGAAGTTGGCAGAACTCTTTAAAGAAACAATATACTTGATTTAGATGGGATTACTGTTGGATGAAGGGATGTGCTCAGTCTTGCCTCTGCAGAAACCAATTAATTTTCATTTATTTCATACTGGTCTTTAAACTCCATTTTGGGTTTGGAGGAGATTTGAGTTAATAGAAAAAATATTGTTGAAATTAATGCTTTAGCATTGCTCATTTTACACATAGCTTGGGGAACAGGAAAGAGATCTAACCACTTAGTAGGCTGACAGATTATATATTTTAAGAGATTTGAGTTAATAGAAAAAATATTGTTGAAATTAATGCTTTAGCATTGCTCATTTTACGCATAGCTTGGGGAACAGGAAAGAGATCTAACCACTTAGTAGGCTGACAGATTATATATTTTAAAAATTCTTCAGAATAATTGGGAAAAAATGGAGGTTTGAATGTTCACTGTATTGAACATGTAGGTTAGGTACATATTTTAAAGGGTAAATATGACCTTGAATCTTTTCTTTGTACTGTACTTTTCTTCTTAGATTTTAGGTCTTCAGCCCATAGCAAAGAGCTAGTCATTTGAAAGAGATTTTTGTGGTGAAATAACACAAGATGCTCTACATGCTGTCTGCATGTCATTAAAATGTGGCAACCATTTGTCCTCAAGTTGTTTGTTCAGTTATTGTAGGCTAAAGGAATATATAAATCATTGAGAAGGTTGTTGGCAATTTGTAATTACTATGCAGATGGTACACCTTCATTTAATAATGTGGACTAATAAGTAGCCAAATAAAGGACTGTCTCTTTCCATCTATTTCTCTAGTCCTGGGGCTTTATTTTTAGCATTAGTTTTTTTTGTCTGGTAGGCTTTCTCTGCTGATAGCTTCAATTATTTCAGCCTCTGGTTTGTGAATTGAGAAGGACCTACCCTGGCTTTTAACTCTGAACCCCATGAATATGAAGATTAGGAAATGCCCCTTTTTCATTTAAATTGGTAATGTTTTCAAATGTTTACCATCATATGAAGTTGACACAGAAAACCAACTTGCCAGATTTTTCGAACTTCAAACTGGCCAAAGGCCTGAGTTATTTGCTGCGTTGGTGTAGAAGATGAATGCATATTTAATTTCAGAAAAACTTTTAGAAGGCAGGTCAACAGTTAGATGACTTGTCCTTTACAGAATAGAAAATAATGATCTTTTAGAATGGTATAAAGCAAGATATTTAAAATTAGAAAGGAATGGGAAAGAAGAAACACACAGACCTGGCTGTGGTCTTATCTAGAAGTTTGCAGTGGCCAATCGCTTTTGTCTGGAGAATAATGTAGTAGCCAACGTTTGGCAGTACTTTTGCACCAGGTGCTGTTCTAGGCGCATTGTATGCACTAATTCATTTAGTCTTCACAACAGACCTATGAAGAGGGTGCTCGTATTATCCTTGTTGTACAAATGAGGAAACTGAGACTCAGAGGAGATTGAGAAGCTTTCCCGAGCTCACACAGCTGGTGAGTGGGGTGAAGTGGGGTGGGGGCATGAACCCAGGCAGTGTGACTCTGAATCCACCATCTAGCTACCAGGCTGGCCTGTAGCCTTGCAGGATCCCTTGCAAGAGAACAAATGGAGGCCCACATAACATGTCTAAATACTTGAAATTTACAAATTAAATTTCATTTATATAATATTTGTTCTATCCACCTACCCTGACAACTATATCATTGTAAGGAACTGGAAGGCTAGGTTTGAATTTCTGATGCTTTGAGCTGGAATGCAGATGGGAGAATCTGCTGCAGGCCCAGGTTTCTTCCCTTTTACTTCCCAGCCCAGGTACAGTCCCACCTGGTGAAGGGCATTGTGTGCACATGCACATCCAATCTTTGTACATACCTTCTGCTCACACCAGTGGCAAAGTCCTCCATAGGAGGACAGGTCTGGGAGGAACCTGTTCATTCCCTGGAAAATGCTTAGTATTTGATGAGGGAACTCTGGGGACCTGGAGTGTAGCCTAAAACCAAGTGGAGGGACACTGGTTCTGGACAGGTGGGCCCACTCGGCCCTAGGAAGTCTTCAGGAAGACAGGGCCCAGGGCTATGGCCCCTCTCACCCATTCTGAGGATGATATTGTTAAACATTACATCATACAGCCTTTGGATATATAGATAAATGTTTTTATTAGATTCTAAAATGATTAGTTATGTATTTATAGCTCTCTTCTACATCATCTTCTTGTGGGAAAGCTTGTACAGTTAGTTAACTTCTTAGCTAGGAATTTAGTTACAATGGAACCATTAGGTTAAATCTACATCTACATTTAGGATTTCTGTTTTAAGATATTTTCATACCCCTTCCAAATCCTGATGATTTTTAAGAGCATTTGAAATCTGGCATAATATCTTCTTTGACAAGTATTGCAAGATGACTTACTGGATAAGTCATATCAATTTTTCCAATCTTGCCCACTATCAAGATAACATCTGTACTTCCAGTTTTGCAATTTGGTTTGCTTTAGAAATAAAAAGCATGTTGCTAAGCTCAGAATATTGAAATGCCAGTAGCAACCTAGCCATAAACAGACTTAATGTACCTAGGGTAATTGCTTTGTTATCCTAACTGTCTATTTAGGAGGTCATTTCCTTTGCTTCAGGTTATCTGCCTTTTAAAAAATGGTTTCTGGCTTATTACAAATTTCAGTCTTCCCCAATTCCCCATCATCTTCATCCTATAAAACATCATTTTTAAAAGCATTTTTGATGGTGACATGGAAAGAAATACGCTTTAGATTGCTGCCTGATACATATACAGACACATGGATATATAGAAACAGATTCACAAGGCACCACTTAATGTTACCATATATGCTGTATGCTAAAGAAAAAAAATGACAAAAGTAATCGAAAATATGACATCATTAATGTTTAAATATAATATTCTATACTATTTCATTTTCCAAAAATGCTGATCATGACCCTCTAAATTGATTTCATAACACATTTATGGATTGTGACCAGCAATTTAAAAACTGCTTCAAAAAGGGAGAAGCCTAAACATATGGAAATCGAATTAGCTGTAGTGATTGAATACTTTGTGTGTATTAGGCAAGGTTCACATAATCTTAGTTACAACCCCTGAAGTCCCCTTTTTATGGAAGTGGAAACTGCGGCACAGTGAAGTCAAAAAGTTGCCTCTGGACCCTCAGCTGGGAGTGGGGCTGTGGCCAGGAGGTCAGGCACACTTGACCACTGCCTCCTGTGGCAACACAGAGCCTGGCACCTCTGGGAACCCCCATAACTTGCCTACTCCCTGATGATGCTGTTGAAACTTCTGAGTTGACTGTACTGCACGTAGGGGACACCACTGTCAGGGGATTTGTTCTTGCACCTGGGTCAGGCCTCTCATTTTAAGTTCTGTTCCTTGTATAGGATCTCACTGTACAATGTCAAATTAGCCTGCTGTGCTGTTTGTTAGTACCTCAGCTGGAAGGTAGAAACTGTTGCTTCGAACTTGGCTTGGATTATTTGGTGAATCCCATTTATTTAGGTATCTGAGAACAGGCTTTTAAACCAAAAACTGGTTTTAAAAAAGAATCTCCATAAACTCAACCTGTAAAGTACTAAAGAATAAATTAAATACATTAAAGGTCTGTGGATAAAAGAATTCTAAATTTCCAAAGGAAGAAAAGTGTACTTGGCACATTTCCTTTTGGAACAATGGCTAGGGAAACTTGGTGTGGGGGCAGGGGCTTAGGGTAGGTGCTCTGAAGCTAGATGAACTAGAATTTACATTGGGGCCCTCATTCAGTAGGCCTTTGAGATTAGGCAATGTCCTTAACCTCCCTGAGCCTCACTGTCTCCATATGTTTATGGGAATCATTCTGGCGCCTTTGCAGGGTGGTCGTGACGCCAAGCCTAGCACCTGCAACATAGCAGGTGTGCACGTGGTCAGTGCTGTCATTGGAACCATAACTGGCCCCTGACTGTTGGTTATTCTCTAGGATGTGGGGAGAGGGGAGTAACGGGGAAAAAACAAGGCATTCACATCTGTTTGGTGCTGGGATTTGGGGAAAGATGTATGGGTACTTTGGGGTCAGAGGTGTTTGTAGGCATTCGAACTTGAACATGGGCAGATATTCTCTAAATTATTTCCCCTTTTTCTAGAGC